GGAATGCAGTAGAATCGTTAATAAAACAGATATCTGGACAAACTTGGAACAGTTTTCAAAGACTCTGAACATGAACCAATTTCCACAAATACAAATTACAACTCAAACGTATATATTCTCACTTTAAATGACTGTATCCAACAATAAAGGCTGAGGGGCTTTCATTAGAATTAGACTGTCACTCCAATCTGTTCATCTAAAACTGTTCCTCCATCTTCTGTGTGTGTGGGGAGAGAGGGAGAGGGAGAGAGGGAGAGGGAGAGGGGGAGAGAGAGAGAGAGACAGAGAGAGAGAAAGAGAGAGAGAAGGGGGGGATGGTGAGTGAGGAGGAAAAAAAGGGCCGCTTGTTTTTGCAGCACAACAGGCCAACGCAGCCCTCCTGCTAACCCTCGGCTGGAGAGGAGGGGCGACAGGGCCGTGCCTGACGAAGACTGAAAGCATGTCACAAACCTAACACACCAGCTTTGAAGCTTTCTGTGATCTTAAAAAATAAAACAAAGGAATACAGAATCAAGTTATCACCTACAGTCATATGACAGCACCAGTCAAATTATGCATTTTGATTATTTTACATTAACACATACTCTAAACTTAAATATGCACATTTTAATGCACAGTTTCCATGAATCTGCTAAGTTGAACATACTGGAAAACAAACAAACAAAAAAAAATACATAAAACAAAATTATAAAATGTGCCATAACTTTTGCACAGGCCACAATGTGTTTTATTTTTTCCCAGAAAGTGTCAAATTGAGCAAATAAAGACTAATAGTTTATTAAAATGTGCAGAAGTGTGTTCTCCGTAGAGAATGCAGTAACTTATGTTCACTTAGAAAATCAACAGAACATGGAATTTGACCAGGGGTGCTCCAACTTATGCATACAACAGTATAAGCCCCACTCTAAGGGCCTATGATTATAATTGGAGGACGGCAGTGAGGCAATTATGAACTATAGGTATACTTAGTTTTACTTTTTTTCTTTTTTGGTAAAGACTTCCAGAACTCCCTCATCTTACACTGTGAATATACTGCCTAGATATCAACAATAAAATCTTTAAACGCCATGATATTAGAATCTATTTTTGGGTTATCAACTGCAGCAGACTGAATATAAACAGCTCCTCAAGTCAGGTAATAATATTAAAGTAAAAGGGATGTGCAGTTTAATAAGGGGAAGGTCAATTCTTTTGAATGGGGGATGGTTTACCCAGGCATCCTTCCTCAAACTGAGCTCTAATTTGAAACCTTCCCAAACTTTTAGTTCAACAGCATGTCACAGATAAAGATAGATCAGGCTAAACCATAAAACGTAATCTAATCCCTACATTTTAAACGTTCCACCCTGTTCACATGGTTAGAAAAAACAAAAAATGTCTGGAGAGTTCAATAAAGTTCAATAAAAGATATGCCTTTGAAGACTATGTGGAAAAACAAGAGGCATCAAACAGGCTAAATGCCTCCGTCAAGCCTAAAAAGAAGTCACTGGAGTTCGTACCACATGTCAAATCAAACCAAAATGGCTTCCCACCTGCTTTGAAATCAAAAAGAGGCAACTTACAACAAAGTTTGCCTCTTTAGCTGCAGTTTGGAGTGAAGAGGCTGATGTAACCAGTCACCATAACCACGTAGCTCCAGCGCTAAAACTAAAAGCAACACCAAACATTTTGCCAAACCACTGTAGATCCACATCTTGCCACCTGGTGACATCAAAACTCGAGCACCCACACCACATTTTCTCTTGATGGTTCCCCGTTTCAAAGAAAAATACGCCGATTCAAAGCAGCCCAAGCTTTAAATGCAGAGTGGAAGTTCACATACACAAATCAGACTTCTTGGAAAAGCTGCTTTGATGAGGTTTGTGTATTTGTGAGCTTATCTGAATCCATCTTCTTTCGCATGAGTCTATGCATTTCCTCTAATTCAGTTATTCACCTTAATATTTTGAACTTCATCCAATCCTTTACCACCAGCACTAGAGACAGGCATGCTGGCAGCGGTGGTTTGAAAGAAAAAGGAAAGTGCTGTGTGTTTGGGTGCCTGTTTGAATCATTCGAGGTTTCTAGCTGATATAAATCATTTTAGCACCACAGGTTAAGCTTTTGAAGGTAGCTGACATAAAAAAAAGAGAGCAAACAGCTCTTTTAAACTGGTGTAGTAGGAATCGATTTATTAACTGAGCAAAATAAAATACCAAATTGTTACTGCATGACCACAGAATGGCAAAGTTACTGACAAAACTCAGCCTATCTGTTTCAAAATGGAGGCAAAGCCCTTGCCATCAGGAATAAGATGCACTAGCACTTCTGCACCTGCAGATGGTCTTTGCAGTCGGGATTAAAGTTAAGCTTCTGCTCGGCACCTTCCACCTCCGAAATGGCTGCTGCGATCAGAGATGCTCTTCGGCTGGAGGTTAAATGGGCAAACGAGCAACAGTGTTCTCAAAAAGCATGTTCCTTAACAACTGATCTGACGGGTGATCTGTGTAGACCCGAAAACACGAAAGCAGGTAAGTTATGGAACAACTAGAAGTGGGCGATATGGAAAAAATAATATTGCTATAGGCTACTTCAAGCAATCCTCACAGAACTTAATTTTTCAGACATCTGATCAGTTGAAACTGAGAAAAAAATGAACTTATTTAACAAAAAATACTATCAAAAACTGAATATGATAATTTATTCAATATTTGGCAACCAGTGCTGCTCTAAATCCAGCTCAACATGACTAATTTTGCTGTCTTTATAATGAAAAAGGCAGTTTTCAGTGTTCAAGTACTGATATTGTATTGTGTATAATTTATCACAATAACAACATATATGTCATACTGTCCAGCCCAAAGCACAACTTCATTGAAACCTCTCTCTCTCTCTCAAAAGATAAAAAATAAACTTTAGGCTTTGGTAACAACTCAAAATAAAGATTTCTCCCCTCTACAAGCAAAAGATGACCCTTCTGAGACTGACAAAACACCTGGTTTGAAAACAACTCATATGGACCTCAAACCAGTGCAGAGAAATCAACGCTTTTACACAAACTTCTGTCTCCTCCAGGGAAAAGAGGAACCCCACATGGCCTGGTAACACTTTTCAAGCCCGATGCAACTAGTGAACAAGCCGCCGTGACCACAAAAGAAGGCAAGGGAGAAGAAAAGGGGGCCAAAAAGCCACTACAATGCAGCTTCTCATCTGCTCGCCATGCACTGCCCTCATATCTGCTCATTCACATTAAAAGCTGCCATCTTAGGAGGCTAAAGCATGGAGAGAGGGGGGGAAGGGGTGTTAGTTAGTTAGTCAGTCAGTTAGTGGCTGGAAACAATGCTAACAATACTAGGCTCACGTTTACTTCTATTCTGAGCTTGATAACGCTTTCACAAAGGAAAGGGGCTCGAAATAAAGTTGAGAAAGTTCAATTTGGACAATCCAACTGAAGGGATACGAGGAGCAGTCGGGAAAGAAACGTGTTGGGTGATAGAGAGAGGGGGAAAAAGAAAACTGCAGCCCTGCTGAGAGTCAGGTGTTATTTTTTTTTTAAACTAATTAAATACTGAAAGGGGAATAAATAGGACTAAAAGAGGTCAAACTTGCATCAATAAATGATAAAAACAACAAAATCCGTATCACAAACTTTTCAGAAAACAGAACAAAAACCATTTCCATACTCCACTGCTGCAAATAAAAGTGAATTTTGTATTAAACCACGTCTTATTTGAAGCGTAAGTGCAAATAAATCTACATACAAAGCCCAAGTAATTCACTGCTGGGTTAATGAACGTGTCGAGGCGAGCACTAGCTAACCTATAGCAGACAATGAGGCCAACAGCAAAGCCACACCGCTTTAGTACGAAAAAAGTGCTCAAAATTCAATTTTCAACACAAATACTACTGAGATGAACACGTTTAGGCTGCAAAAGGACCCGTATCACTCGATAAAACGTTTTAAAGCAAACTTAAACGGGGAAAAAACTGACCATCTGGCCTCAAGCAACCTCCTTTCTCCTCATTTAGCTATATTGTCCTTCTCCGGACACTTTTTCAAGCCGATGAGCCTTACCTCTGAAACCGGGCACTTGGCGTCCTTTAACCGTGAGCTAAACCACAAAAGTCGAAGTTTAAGAGCCGATTCAGACCTGTTGGGGTAGTTTTCGGTGAATTGTGAGGTGTTTTCACCGTGTATTGTGGCTCCGGGGGTCGGGGATCTCCCTCATTCGCACTGACTCACCTCCACCTCGTGTCTCACTCAACGCCAAATTAGCTTTGCTAACGAAGCCAACAGCAGCTTTTCGGCTTCTTTCTTTCGGGGCTGGTGGTCGATAAAACTTGCTGGTTCGAATGAAACAAAAGCAGAACCCTTATTCGTTCTTTAAAGGAACAGAAAAGATGTTCTCTCCCAGCCGACATTCCCATTTTCCCCTCATTACAACAACTAATCGGGACTCGCTTCCTAATTCGCCAGGTTCTCGTTCGAATTCAGCCGTTCCACCTTAAATGGGGCAGCAGTTACATTCTGGCGCCTGCGGCGCCAGAATGTAACTGCTGCCCCATTTAAGGTGGAACGGGAGAAACTCCATCGAGAACCTGGCGAATTAGGTTAAGAAGCCTCGTTTTACAACGAAGAGGACGAAAAAAAAGAAGGGTGGCGAGCTAAACAAGCTAACGCAACGTTAGCATCCGAGCGAAGCTACTTTCGACGACTTAACTGTAAAAATAAAAACACGTAAAAAAGCGAATTCGTTGATCTTCCGAGTTTCTAACAAGCACACGGATTAAATGGACTCCGATTTGGCCAAAATACGAGCACGTTTCATTGAAAAACGCGAAGTTCAGCCCAACTCGGCGAACACTTTTCGCGATGCGAGTTAGGTGAAAGTGAACGGGAGCGACTCTGAGGAGAAAATAGGCGTCAACGGACTTAACGAACAAGTTTTCGTTTAAAAATGTTTTAAACAGAGCCAAAGTTCGATTCCAGCGTTCGACTGGCGGCAGTTTCTCTCACTCACCTCCAACACAGCGCGGCTCAGGTCGCGGAGCTTCCTCACTAAATTAAAACTCCGACCGGCTCGTCCTGGAAACAAAATCCCTTTAAACGGTGATTATAAAGGTCGATGTTCTAAACTTCTCGCCCCGCTGGCGGCTCCTGCTGCTGCTCCTCGCCGGCTCTCTCTCTCTCTCTCTCTCTCTTCTCTCTCTCCCTCTCTCTCTCTCTGTGGTTAAAAAAAAATCCAACTCGCTTCGAGTTTTTTTTTTCTTTAAATCCGAATCGATCCAGGCGCTCGCGTTCACGAGAGCACGCTCTCTCTCTCTCTCTCTCTCTCTCTCTCTCCCCCTCTCTCTTACTCTCCCTCGCTCGCTCGCGCTCTCTCTCCCGCAGGGGGCGCGTTCACGCGCAGCGGCTCGCAGATAAACACGCGTGCGCGTGAGTGAAAGAGCATGGGGTTGGGGGGGAGGGGGCCGCGTGACGCAATCGCCTCTTAGTGACTTTTAATTGGCTAAAATTCGGTCCTCCGGTTTGTTTTTGTTTTCTCATGTTTTGTTCAATTTGGTTTTATTTATTTATTTACTTATTAAGTAATTAATTAATTAATTTATGTATGTGTGTATGTATGTATTTATGTATTTATTCATTTTCCCCTTGTTATCGGTTAATTTAATTTTTTGCACTTTTATTTTTAAAACCCCCCTCTGTGACTTTTATTTGGCTAAAATTCTGTCTGTTTGTTTTTGTTTTTTTATGTTTTGTACGATTTGATTTTATTTATTTATTTACTTATTTATGTATGTATGTATTTATTTATTTATTTTCCCACTATTATTGGTTAATTAATTTTTTTTGCACTTTTATTTTAACACGTGACTTTTATTTGGCTACAGTATATTCTGTCCTATGTTTGTTTGTTTTTTGTTTAGTTTTATGTGTTATTATATGTTTGTTGATTTTGTTTTTAGCTCATTTATTTATTTATGTATGTATTTATGTATTCACTTCCCCCTTATTATCAGTCTTTTCTACAACTTTTAATTTAAATGTTTGTTTTTTTTGAACCCATGCTTAAATGGTTCTTTGCATGGTGAAATCGTTCTTCAGATTGATGGAGAACGTGTATACGGTTCCATGTAGGGCCTTTTTGAAAATGGTTCTGTGTAGCACCACTAGGAGTCTTGTAGGTTCTATATAAAACCCCTTTCAAAAGGTTCTATATGGAACCATACAGAACATGATTTTTACAGCAGGGATACATTTACTATGATCTTAAAAAAGACGGTTCTCCAAGGTTCTTTAGTAAAGACAACAGTTCTATTTAGAACCATGAATTCTATTCGGAACCATTTCATGCTTAAATGGTTCTTTGCGTGGTGAAGTCTTTTCTTCAGATTGATGGAGAATGCGTTGTATATGGTTCTATGTAGCACCAAAAAGGGTTCTACTGTATTCAAGCTTGACATCATAACAATAGCAGAACCCGTGTTGGTTTTATATAGAACCCCTTTGGAAAAGGTTCTATAAGGAACCATACACGTTTTTTCAGCAAGTTTGGATTTACTACAATCTTAAATAAAGACGGTTCTTCAAGGGTTCTTAAAGAAGACAAAGGGTCTATTTATAACCATGAGTTCTATATAGAACCATTTCATGCTTAAATGGTTCTTTGCATGGTGAAATGGCTCTTCAGATTGACAGAGAACATGTATATGGTTTTATATAGAACCTTTTTGAAAATGGTTGCATGTAGGGTTTTTCTATTGTTACCTACTTGACATCATAACAGTAGTAGAACCCTTTTTGGTGCTATTTAGAACCATATACAACACGTTCTCCATCCGAAAAACCACTTGACCATGCAGAGGATTCTTTGAGTGTTCATGGTTCAATATAGAACCATTTTCTTTACTAAAGAACCCTTGAAGAACCATCTTTTAAGAGTGTATTTATCTGTTTACAGTCATATTTGAGGTGTACAGGGCTTTTCCCTTCAAATACGGTGATGGTTTGTATTCTGGTTTCCACGGTTCCTCCAGCCGTACGGCTGCTGTCACAGTGGGGTTTCTGAGAGGGTGGATTAAAGTACTGTCATTATCAGGTTTTTCCATACAAACTCCCTCCATTTCTGTGAACTGGTACACCTCCACAGATCCCTCCATACTGCTGTCCATTCCCTCTTTCCGTCCCCCATTTCAGGCTAATGTATTAAGTCTAACGTGTGTTAAGATTTGACTCTTATACATGCATAAAACAGTTTCACTACATCTGAACTATACGCTACCCTAAGCGCTTCTGTCAGGCCTGTAACGGCCTCACTTACACTTCTCACCTTCATTTTAACACAATGTCTCATCTGTAGACACTAATAGAAGTCCTGTTTTTCTAATGACACACATTTTTCCTTCTATTTTATTTCCGCTTATGACGTTCCTGTAGTTATAACACTTCAAAGACATTTCATTTTTACTCTGTCCAGTCTATCAGTGTCTCTCATTAACAACAGGATTGGGATTTTTGTTACTGTGCCTTCAAGACTGATACATACACTGCAAAAAATGGTGTCCTGTCAAGTAAAATTATCCTAAATCTAGTCAATATATCTATGAGATGGTTGTGTACTTACTATAAGATTATTTACTTCATTTCTAGACTTTCTTTACTTGTTTTAAGTAATTTTATTAAGTAAAATTATCTCACTATACTGGCAGATAATTTTGCTGGTATCAAGCTCATTTCTTACAACAAGCACCATTATATGCCAGTATAGTGAGATAATTTAAATAAAATTACTTAAAACAAGTAAAAAAAAAAAAAAGTCTAGAAATGAGGTAAATAATCTTAAATTAAGTTTACAACAATCTCAACAGGAGAAATATTAGATTTACTGACTATATTTTATATAATTTTACTTAACAAGACGCCATTTTTTGCAGTGCAGTCATGCACAAAAGTTTGAACGCCCCCGGTCAAATTACGTTTGGATGATTTTTCTAAATGAAAACAAGTTCCTCTACTAAGAAACACATTTTAAATACATTTTAAAAACATTTTTACTGTAATTTTTAGCGCATTTTTTTTATTCATTTGCTGAGTTTAACATTTTGGAAAAAAATATAGTACAGTATAAACTGTGCCATAACTTCTGCACACGCAACATTTTATTTTTGGATGATAAATTAATTAAATAAACAGTAACTGTCCATTAAAAGGTGTTGTTTTTTTTCCAATAAACAAAACATGGAACATGACCGGGGGCGCCAAAACTTTTGCACACAACTGCATGTAAATGACATCTGGTCTGATTGGCTGACTCGTTCAAAAAGCAGCCCAGGCACAAACACCCCTTTCAGCTTCTGTGTGAACTGAGGCCGAATATGGATCTGTTACACGCATTAGTCTTTGTGACATCACAAAAACAATGGATACAAAAAGAGGCTGTTTGTGCAGCTCTTTCCCCATTCAGAGGCTGTATGGACTGCGGAGTAAAGGGTGCGTTTGGACTCCTATTTAAAAAAAAAAGGGAGGAGTTTTTTATACAATGCAGGTCCTTTAAAAACAATAATAAACACATTAAGGTTCCACCACCATCCAGTGTTTCCAGCATTACTACAGCTTTAACCAGAACCTTGACTGTGAACACTTAAAACACTGTGCATGTCCAAAACTATTAAAATGACATACAAACTACACAGGAATGTTGTGTTTATTATAAAAAAACATGACAAATAGTCAAAATCCCTCTACTAGTAGGTCACCACTGACACACTACACTGTTAGAAATAAAGGTTCTGTACAAGTATAAACAGTGTGAATGTTCCCTCAAAGGTACAACAGTGGTTTTAAGGTCCTTAAATAAGTGGTTTTGAGAACCTTAAATAAGTTTTTCCAGGTGAAAAGTTCGTATTTGTACCTTTTCATAACCGAATGTTTTAAACAGAACAGTAAAATAAAAGCCTGGAGACGAGACGGGGTGTGTGGAGTCAGTACAGCTTAGAACATATCATTTCAGTGGATTATGGTACAGTTATGTTCCCTGACTGAAGGTACTGACGACGGACCCTTGAGGGTCCCACCCCAGTAACAAGAGGGGGACTGACCCAGTGATGGTTTACTACCTCTATTTCTGAGAGTGTGTGTGATGTCATAAGGCTGCAATGGAGCCAGTCCTATAGAATATAAGACGTTCTAAGGTTTTTCTCCCAAGTAACGTCTCGCTCACTGTGTCCACTCACTGTCCACTCTATTAGACACTCCTACCTTGTCAGTCCACCTAGTAGATGTAAAGTCAGGGACGACAGCTCATCTGCTGCTGCACAGTTTGTGTTGGTCATCCTCTAGTCCTTTATCAGTGGTCACAGGATGCTGCCCACAGGACGCTGTTGGCTGGATATTTTGGTTGGTGGACTATTCTCAGTCCAGCAGCGACACTGAGGTGTTTAAAAACTCCAGCAGCACTGCTGTGTCTGATCCACTCAGACCAGCACAACACACAAACACACCACCACCACGTCAGTGTTACTGCAGTGCTGAGAATGATCCACCACCCAAACAGTACCTGCTCTGTGAGGGTCCATGGGGGTCCTGACCACTGAAGAACAGGGTAAAAGGGGGCTAACAAAGTATCAGAGAAACAGATGGACTACAGTCTGTAACTGTAGAACTACAAAGTGCACCTATATAGTAAATGGAGCTGATAAAATGGACAGTGAGCGTAGAAACAAGGAGGTGGTCAGAATGTTATGCCTGATCGGTGTATATAAAAAACAATTTTATTTAAAAGTATTCAGTGCCTATTTCTTTGCCATTGTTGGTATATTCTGAATAAACAATGGCCCGTACAGGTCATGGCAAATGTTAAGTAAAAAATAAAATAAAAGCACAGCTGGCCCACGGATTTGTTGAGATTTTTTAAATTAAATTAAGTTTTAATCGGCCCTTTTACTAGTTGGGTTTGACACTCTTGATCTGGCTAAAGCTGGAAAGGCTGAATGAAATATTAGAGTTAAGATATTTAACTTGCTGCTCCTCACTCAGTGGACAAAAGAGAGAGCAACCAAAAATGGCTGCCAACTAATAAATTATCTATTTTCAATAAAAAAAGTATTTTGCTTGGTTTATACAACATATTTGAATGCTATTGGACACGCACACCATATACTGGGGTCCTATATATCATAACAGTCCAGCTCAAAACACCCAGGAAGGCATAAAACATCATACTAGCACACGTGCAGAGTTGATGAGTTTATTATATTTTTTTATTGTGATAGCATTTCATTTTGAGAACACAGCAAATAAAGTTGAGGGTCACAAAGTTACTTCAGTTTGGCTTTTACCACACCCCTTTCACAACGGACAAGATGTTCACCATATATCTATCATAACAGAACGTACTGCCAGAGAAAGCAAGCCTTTACACAACCACTCAGACACCTAAAATGAATGTGGATCTGCACTGACGGTACACAGCAGACTGCGTCGGAGGAAAAAAAAATCATCGTTCTGAAGAGAAAACAAAAACAGATGTTTATGCGTACATATATTCCGGCGTCAATGAATATATAGGTTTAGCTATGTACGTGTGAGTGTGTGTGTGTATGCGTTTGAGGGCTATATAGCTACTGTAAGTGAACCTAAGGTCCTTTTTTAATATGTATGCACGTCTCAATTATACAAATTGCATGTTTTTCTTCTTTTAACCTTTAAATGAATCCTGCGTAACGTGACTGTTACCCTTTTGCCGTTCCAAAATCTTTAAGGCAAACACAGCAGACCTAGTTTGGTGGAGGACAGGTGATCCGTTTTTCCTCAAGTCGTGACTCAACACAGGTAAACACAAATTTTGGCATTATTAAAACAGAGAATATTGAGCCAAAGTTTCTATACACGAGAGCTGATCGGGCGAGGGGGCTGGGCGAGGGGGCTGGGCGAGGGGGCTGGGCGAGGGGGTGGGGGGGGGCACAGAGATGAAGGGCAAAGGCAGATGGCAGGACCAAACTAAAACGAAACAAAGTAAAAATCCTTAAAACGGTGTCGAAGCAGGGTTTTTTTGGAAACGTAGCAATACTGTTGCATTTTCAAGCTCTATTCGTACAGTATAGAATTTAAGCAAATTCAATACAGAATTCTAGCTCTGTCAACATACATCAAAGCAAGAAATGATAACTATATATACAGAATGTGAATGATAAATACAGATTTAAAACAGTCCTGCTTTTTTTTTTCTTCTTCTTCTTCTTCTTCACTTTGATAACGGCTGCTCCTTTCATCACAGCCCGAACGTTTCCTTTATTTTTGACTTCAGAGTTCGCCGCGGTCTTTCACAGAACTCGCTCACATTAACCGATTAAAATACTAGAGATGACTTTGTAGTGTTTAATACAGTTCAGCTTTGAAGTCAAAAGGGCACAAAAATCCACAACTGTCTGAGAAAAAAACAAAACAAAAACAAAACAAAAACAAAAATAATCAAAATACAAACATGGATATATTTACGAATATGGGTTCCAAAGCTCTGGTGGTTTCTGCCTAACTAGTAACCATAATCACGTCTGCTGGAGCCCCCGGTGGGCTTCAGGAGTTTCTCAGGACTTAAGGACCTGGTCTTTAGCATTTTTTTTGTTATTTTTTTGTTTTTGTGTTTTTTTTTCTTTTTTTTGGACAGCCATCTAGTACACGATTTGAATTGGAGGGCTGGGCTGTGGGGGGGTTAAGAAAATGTTAGTGAGCGCGACCAGTCCAGTAGAAACATAAGGAGTCGGGGAGGGTGGAGGAGGAAGAGGGAGGAGGAGGATAAAAGGACAAAAGCTCAGCAACAGCCTCCTCCAGCCTGCTGTCCGCCCTGTCCGCCGGTCAGCGTCGAGTTAGTGGCAGCATGCTGGGGCCCGATTTTGATCCCGTTCGCCTGCGAAGACACACAGTTAGACAAATCAGGGTGTGCGGCACTGAAATTAAACAACATGACGCTGTCTGAGAAGCTTTTTTTGGTCAAGGAAGAGTTGAAAGAAATGATTTGTCATTTTCTAGCAAAATAAGATGTTACAAGACTTCTAAACGCTTGGTGGCTGAATCAGGAGGCTCATTACTTCAATATAAGATCAACAATTATCATCAGTTCAGTTTTTTCCTTGAGTGCTGACCCCCTCAATCCAAGACGGCCGTCTATAACAGGAATGCAACAATTGTCCCAGGTATATCGGACCATCTCAGAACTTCTAAACCAAGTTTTTAAACTAGTTTTATGCTTTTCTGACTAATTAAAAAATCCCCTGTAACCGCTGTGATTTTGCCAATACTGTGCAAAAGGCAGAATCCACCCTTCATTTATTTGATTTCCAGTTTACACAGTCATTTGGCACAAGCCAAATAATTTTTAGATATAAATAAAAGGTAATCCACTTGCATAAGGAAAGAGAAAATCAAAGGGAAATTATTGAGTTTAAGAAACTGATTAAAAGCTACAGAGAAAATGTGCCTCCTAACAACCACCTGGAAGACCTGGTAGACACCAAAACTGGCCCCATCAGATAAACAGCACTTAAAGCTCTCATCTCTGAGAGAGAGGAGAAAATCAAGCTGCTTCAGATCTGAAAACATCCACAGGTGCTTCTGTCCATCCTTCCACTGTGAGAAGACGACTCAGCGCTGTGGGTCTGAAAGGATGTGTAGCTGATCAAGAAGAACCTCACTGAGAAAAGGAGACGGACACATCAAACAAAGAAGCTGAACGATGGACTGACCACCCCAGAGTCCAGACCTCAACACCACTGAATGTGTCTGATTACTTCAGAAAATCATCAACCAGCTTCTAAGACTGAACTTTGGAGGTGTGTCTGCAGATTCTTTGAGGAACTGAAACTGAGTCTCCTGAAAAAAATGGAAAAGGAGGGTCTCTGACTTCTGCACAGCGCTGTAAGCCGGAGAAGCCTGTGTGTTTTTACAGTAGTAACAAGAGAGGCAGGAAATCTGCCAAAAGTGGCACTTTCATTCACCGCGCGAACCCATCCATCTCACCAAACTACTCCTGCAAGTTCTAAAGCGGCTCTCCGTCTGGAGGTCACGCTGCTGTGGCGTACTTAAGGAAACTCCACATCATCCTCAATCTGATTTATGGTGTCTGGGGGGTTTCTCCTGGCCAGGCTCAGGGGCTTCCTGGCCAAGATCTCCATCAGCTGATGCGGTTTGGACCTGGTGCCTTAACTTTTTCTTTTTTTCCCCCTTCCACTTTTCCTGCTACTCCCATAAAAAAAGAACGAAAGAGCGAGTGCTACAGTGGGCCCAGCTCCATCCGAGCGGCTGTAACCTTATGGGATGTGAGGAATTTATGTGCTGGCAGGCCGCCAGTAGAGGGGCTGGAGGCCCGATGTGTAAGCCCTACTGGAACAGACCTTTGCTGCTTTTTCCCTTTTGGTCCTCACTCCTAAACGTGTTTATATCACTGCATAGGCATCCAGCACTGAGCGCCGTTAAATTCTGAAGCCTTTTTACAGTGATTACAGTCTCTCCCCCAATTTTAAACACTAACCCGTGAAATAATATTTAACATGCTCTGCTGGGTCTGGCTTTGGGACTGAAGAAGAGAGAACAAAAGTTATGATATGACTGCGATGGGTAAACAGCACAAGCACAAGCCTGATTACAACAGACTAGAGAATGTAAATATGCTATATTATATTAAACAGTCGTGCTATAGAATATATTCACTCTATATAATATAAAGATCTTACAACAGGAGATAAACACACTACAGAATATACACATACTGTAGAAAATAAAAGTCTTACTATAGAATTCAAACACTACAGAATATGAAAGATCTTAAAATAGAAGGTAAACACTATAGGAAGTAAACACTAGAATACAAAAGATCTTAAAATAGAATATAAACCCTCTACAGAAGATACAAGATCTTATGAGTTAGAATAAAAGCATTATAGAATATAAGAAGTCTAAATATAGAATGTAAAATGTCTTATTATAGAATATAAACACACTACAGAATATAAAAACATGTTAATAAATTATAAACTGTATTACTGAAGAATATAAACACATCACAGAATATAAAAGGGCCTTATAACAGCATATAAACACACTACAGAACATAAATGCACTAAACAATATATAAAATAGAATATAAATGCACTACAGAATGTAAACATTATTACTATAGAGCAATTATCGTACTATAGGACTATAGAACATGGAAAGTCGAACTAAAATATATAAAAGGTCTTACAGTAGAATATAAAACGCACTATAGAATATGAAACATCTTATCAAAGTATATAAACACACTATAGAATATGACAGATCTTACTAAAGAATATAAACACACTACAGTATATAAAAGATCTTACTATAGAATAAACACACTATAGAATATAAAAGACCGTACTATAGAATATAAACACACTATAGAATATAAAAGACCGTACTATAGAATATAAACACACTATAGAATATGAAAGACCGTACTATAGAATATAAACACACTATAGAATATAAAAGACCGTACTATAGAATATAAACACTATAGAATATAAAAGACCGTACTATAGAATATAAACACACTATAGAATATGAAAGACCGTACTATAGAATATGAACACACTATAGAATATGAAAGATCTTACTATAGAATGTAAACACACTATAGAATATGACAGATCTTACTATAGAATATAAACACACTATAGATTATGACAGATCTTACTATAGAATATAAACACACTATAGAATATGACAGATCTTACTATAGAATATAAACACACTATAGAATATGACAGATCTTCCTATAGAATATAAACACACTATAGAATATGAAAGATCTTACTATAGAATATAAACACACTATAGATTAAGACAGATCTCACTATAGAATATAAACACACTATAGAATATGACAGATCTTACTACAGAATATAAACACACTATAGATTATGACAGATCTTACTATAGAATATAAACACACTACAGAATATGACAGATCTTACTATAGAATATAAACAGTATAGAATATGAAAGATCTTACTATAGAATATAAACACACTATAGATTATGACAGATCTTACTATAGAATATAAACACACTACAGAATATGACAGATCTTACTATAGAATATAAACAGTATAGAATATGAAAGATCTTACTATAGAATATAAACACACTATAGAATATGACAGATCTCACTATAGAATATAAACACACTATAGAATATGACAGATCTTACTACAGAATATAAACACACTATAGATTATGACAGATCTTACTATAGAATATAAACACACCACAGAATATGAAAGATCTTCCTATAGAATATAAACACACTATAGAATATGAAAGATCTTACTATAGAATATAAACACACTATAGAATATGACAGATCTTACTATAGAATATAAACACACTATAGAATATGACAGATCTTACTATAGAATATAAACACACTACAGATTATGACAGATCTTACTATAGAATATAAACACAGTATAGAATATGACAGATCTTACTATAGAATATAAACACACTATAAAATATGACCGATCTTACTATAGAATATAAACACACTACAGAATACGAAAGACCATACTATAGAATATAAACACACTATAGAATATGAAAGACCGTACTATAGAATATGAACACTATAGAATATGACAGATCTTACTATAGAATATAAACACACTATAGAATATGACAGATCTTACTATAGAATATAAACACACTACAGAATATAAAAGATCTTATTATAAAATACTATCTGTATTACTACAGAATATGAACCCAGTATAGCAAATAAATGAACTATAGAATATAAATAATGTTACTATAGAATATAAACACACTATGGAACACAAAGTCTTAAACAATAGAATATGAACACACCACTGAAAATAAGTGGCCTTTACATTTGCTGTGCATGCAGCCCTAATGAGGGATGCTAAGAGAAACTTGCTGCTCGTTAATAAAACGTGCACTTCTATTCTATCCGGAACAGTGATTACCTCTAACGGTAATAGAAGAACGTCTGGCTGCTTGATTTAAACCCTGCTCACGAAGACGTGCACTGTACAAATTTAAACAGATTGCTCTAGGAAGTCCCCTTGACCCAATTCTGTACTTAAACCAATATAAACTCAGAGAAAAGTACAGCATGTGCTCCTTCTTTTTGTGCTTTGTTACCTCGTTGTTGATATCGAAGACGCCCTCCTGGATCTTTTCATAAATCTCCTTGGCTGTGTTGATAAATGCCTGAAACACAGAAAAGGGTGCATGTGTTAAAACAGGCAACGGCCTACTAAAGCTCAGTCTCACCATTAGCTTAAGCAGGTAAACGGTTTACTGACCTATTAATCAACAGATTTAGGTCTCAAGTGTTTACAACAGACATACTTGCTTAAACACCTGCACGGACAGTAATTACGTTCATACAGTTCCGTTTTATCTAATAACATTCAGAACCGAATTCTGAATTTGTGCGTGTGTTTAAATTCATCCTGTTTTATTTGTGATAGCAGCTGCACTGTTTACTGGTCACAGCTCTTACTCCAGCATCCAAAACTTGACAAAAAACAATGTAAACAGAACAGAATAACAGTATATTATTTAGCATTTAATAACTATGTTCACAAAGCTTTTCAAATATTAAATAAACTTCTAAAAATACATTATTTGTGAAGAATTTGCAATATCTTAATTTATTTGTCATATTTTAAACACATATGAAACAAAAAACGTTATTTTGCAAAGTGATTCCAAACTTTAGAGTACTTGAGCTCAGGCCCAGAGAAGGTGGCAGCATTTCTGGGTCCTGTTTATATGTGGGCAAGATGTTTTACACACACAAGCCAAATTCTGATGGACTTCTCTTGAGTATTTTCAACTCATAATACTTGCACATCTACTTTGGTAGTTATGAAAGCGAAGATACTGTCCTCTTCTATACTGTAGTCATTAATACTGTGTTTCTAATGATCTTTTTTGGGTTTAATGTCATTATAAAGTGTTGGTTCAGCTCCTGTTCTGCTTTACTGCTGATCCCTCCGCTCACTTTGAAGCTTCAGCGTTTTATTTTAGACCAAAATGAGAAGAAATACAGAAGAAGAACTGCAACAAAATTCATTTTCTATACTGACAGATGCTGGATGGACTTAGAAGTTCCACTGCAGCTCCGTACGTTACTGTACGTAGTTTTCTGAGCTGCTATTTTAGTAAAAGTTGCTTTTTGGGAAGATACTTTCCTCTTACTTTTGTTATTGCATAACAGGCACAAAACATACCACACAGTCAACTCCACAAATGTCACCATCACAGTATCATCAACTATTAATAAATTAGTCGGATAATACAGATTATCATGACAGATGTTCAAGAATTAAGCAGGCACGGTGCTTATGGCTGAGGTTTGGCGCCCCCCGATGGTTGTAGGAGTCACTGCTGTTATTACTGGTGTTGCACAGTGAAAATGAAGGTAACTGGAGACTCAGCCTGTATATAAGAGTTCAGACTTGGCTTTAGTGTTTCACAGACTGATCAACAGAGGCGAAACGCTTCTCTCTGCACCTCAAATACCTTGAGACACAGGAAGAAGGAATGACTGTGCAAGAACACGGCAGATGTGCACATGCATGCGCTTGTGTGCAGTTGCTGTCACAAGAAAACTCCGTATCTGTCTTATTATCTATTAATGTGAATTAGAGGAAACTACTATTGTTCAGGGCAGGTACCTGGTAGTTTTGGAAATTATTACAAAAAATGTTTTAAATAAAACACAAAACCTTAAAAATAACATGACAGCATGCTGCATAAAATAAACAATAAATTAAACAAGGCATACCACAAGGCATTGTACTTAGGAACCGGAATAGCCAGTGGTTAAAAATGTGCCTGTTTAGCTGGTTTTAGTGTTAAATAATCCTCAAAAAGACCTGAAAAGATGGAGTCATATAAGCAGGGTTCTCTTATGACAGAGCTTATATGCGTGCGCAATGCGTGGTAGGAATTCTATGAATATGCATGAGCCTTAAATAGGAGACTGAAAAGTCATAAAAGGGCGGGGGGAGGGGTCAGGAGAATTCACACGACACTAATGAGACAAATTAATCATACAGGGTAAGCTGGGGGTGGGCGGAGGGAGGGGGAGGGGCATCCACAAATTAACGCCTCCGCTTTCTTAAAGCCGTCTCTCGGCTCGGCTTCAGCTGCCTCCCACTGCGCACAATGAGGCTGTTTTCCCTGCAGTTAGAGGAGCTTCCCCTGAGTACCGTCTCTAAGCATGAGCGTATGTGTGTGTGTGCGCATGTTTGCATATCAACCACAAATCACAACCCAAACACTCCGGACCCCTGGGCCACACGGGGCACGCTGTACCTCTTCTACGTTTGACGCCGTCTTAGCTGAAGTCTCCATGAAGATAAGGCCGTGTTCCCTGGCAAAAGCCTCGCCCTCCTCCTTCTTCACCTCTCTCCGCGACTCCAGATCACTGCACACAAAAACATACCGCTCAGCCTCATCCGGGAGCGCAGGAGAAATATCAGGGAAAAAAAAAACAACTGAAAAACAATACTGGATGGGAAGAAGACTACCTTTTATTTCCGATGAGCATGATGACCATGTTGGAGTTGGAATGTTGACGAGCATCTTCTAACCAGGTTGTCAAATGGTTAAAGGTGTCCCTTCTGCCAATCACAAGACGACGACACGCAATTAACAACAAATACTGAACACAGTGTTGTTTTTACCACTAACTATATATAAACCTGCAACAAGCAAATATCTGAAATTTGTGGTTTACCACCTTGTGCTTCCACTTACTGGCCACTTTATTAGAAACACCTTCCTTGGGCTTCCACTCACTGGCCACTTTATTAGAAACACCTACCTTGGGCTTCCACTCACTGGCCACTTTATTAGAAACACCCACCTTGGGCTTCCACTCACTGGCCACTTTATTAGAAACACGTACCTTGGGTGTCCACTCACTGGCCACTTTATTAGAAACACCCACCTTGCGCTTCCACTCACTGGCCACTTCATTAGAAAAACCCACCTTATGGCTCCACTATGTAGGTGTACAATTACAGGCTGTAGTCCATCTGTTCCTCCACAGTTCCCCAGACCCCCTCTAGCGCTTCATCATTGGTCAGTTTCCACAGGAACACTACTGTCCAGACAGTGTGTGGGTGGTGGTTCATTCTCAGCACAGCAGTGACACTGACACAGACCGAGTGTGGATCTACCATCCAGAAACATCCAGGCAAGCGCGGCTCAGTGGTCAGAAACTGACCAGTGGTGAAGGACTAGGACTGGAGGACTCAACAGATGAGCTGCAGTCTACCAGCTAAGTAGAGCTCCAAGAGAGGGGTTTCTGATAAAGTGGCCATCGTACAGCATGAACAAAGGTTTAAAAGGCTGAGAGAAAGAGAACAAGACTAGAACAGGACGTTGGACTCGCCTTGTGATATCGTACACGAGGAGGGCTCCCGCAGCTCCTCTGTAGTAAGACCTGGTGATGGAGCGGAAGGACTCCTGGCCAGCCTGGACACAGAAATACAACACAGAAATGACGGTCTGACTCACAGAGGTCCTCCAACTGACAAATCTCTGCAGCACTGCTGCTTAACTGGACTCCCAGACTCACTCCATTGCAGGAGCTCAGCGTTAAAATAAGCTGAACCTCCCGCCTTCACAGACAGGCAGGGGGTGGGTGATGTGACAATATTAATCGTGAGAAATTATGGCAACAATATGGTTTTCTGAGCACATAATGTGTGTAGTAAGTACTTCTAGAACACTAAGGCAACTGCACAGGCCATAAAAATACAGATTTAGACCAATTATAGAGAAGCTATAAACAATAACAACTAGTGTACCGTAACTGTACCAACTGCATGGAAATAAGTAGCTGACTGGACGGCGGCGCATTAGGACGTTTTCTTGTTATGTTTACTTAGAACATTTGCACTCATTTTCACACAACCGTTTTCCAACCTCTCTTTATCCATAAGCATTAAACAGGTCGTGCCAGTAAAGCTGATATTCTGTAAACATTACACTTAGGTGTTGGTATACGCTCTCATCCATAGGTGAGTGTAGCGTGAGGAGTCATGCAAAAGTATTTTTATTGATATAAAAGTAATATTACTGTGTGTTGGGAGGTGTGTCCGCTGCAACGTTAAAGACTTTAAATCAGCAATGGAAATCATACTGCGGTCCCATAGTTAATAACAATAATACTAAAAAGTATCCAGATTTTAAATGTTTAAGGATTATGGTCTATTTAAACCCAAGGCATTAATAGAGACAGCAATAAGCTAAATATATACTCATCATTTATAGGGTGCTTTCTATTGTGAGGGGTCTGTCCCAAAACCCTAACCCCTAAAATTACACTTATATTTACATAAATAATAAACAATACATAAAATCTACTTTTTAGTATTTTTTCTGTTTTTGAACGTTTTTTTTTTTTTATTCATTTTAAAGTAAAGTTGAATGAGTTTGATTTTTAAATAAAAACCCATTTTCATGTCACTACCGAAACAAAGTTTAGTCTGTGGGCGGAGTCTTACTTTAGCCACCCCCCATGCATTTTATAGCCGGAAGTGAGGCTGCATCCCTGTGCCTCACGACCACATGGTGAGCAGTTAGATCCCATTGTTTTGAAGTAAATGTGTCCCAAAAGTCTGAAAATCAGTGAGGAACAATAATAATTGTCACTACCGAAACACATTTTCTGCAGTAATGTGTGTTGTAAAGAAAAATATGATGATTTTCTGTGTGAACAGCTGTTCAAAGCTGTGTTGTCTGGTCATGTAGAGGCTGCGCATTTGAGCTCAAAATTAGCTAAAACTGTCACCACGAAACATTCGTGAGGTTTGGGCAGAGTTACGATTGTTCTGGTAGTGACAAAATGGAATATTCAATCATTAGTTTTAATAAAATAAACATAATTAAGGTTTAGGGTCAGTCAAAGGCAAAAGATTTCAGCCCAAAGTTAAAATTAAAATGTTTAAATTAAAGTTAAAATGTCATGAAAATGTCAACAAATATCACAATGTTATATGTTTTGCACTCACTCAGACAGACACTGAGCAGCAGACGCCGTCACCACACGCACACAAGGGCCCTCTGTCTGCCCTACGTCCCACAATGCATCTCTCTCCAGCAAAAGGTGGCTGACCAATCAGCCGAGCCTTCAGCAGCCACCATTCAACAGCATCTTTGTCACGGCGTAAAATGGCCTCCCCAGCAGCGCTGTGGTCAAGTGGCCCCCTCTGGCAGAAGGCGAGTAAGCCAGGGGCGCACATTCGAATTCAATAAGCCAACTCCCCCCGGGGGCAGCTGTTAACATTAGAGTTAATGGAGCCCATTGTGAATAAATGATGAATGGCACTTTTATGCCTGCCATCTGCCGAAGTGAAAGGTTACAGGAAGGCCAGAAATGCTGATTTCTCCCGTTACATCACAACCACACACACAACGCGCCCAAAAGCCTCGGGTTTAATCACAAAAACCTGATTTAAAAAAATTTAAAAAAAGGAAAAAAGTGACCTTAAATGACAGTAAATATTTACATCACACACAAGGAAATGGTGCTGCTTATGTGACAAAGGCAAAAAAGTGCTGAGTCAGGGCCAAGCCTCACCACCACGTAAGAGGTGCATGGAGTTTTAAATTAACCTTAAACACAGCTTTAAAAAAAAAAAAGGCCACAAAAAAGCGTAAAAATACATAAATAAATACAAACATACATTATGAGAAATTTATTCTTATTTCTTAATACGAAAACAGACCTTAACTGTTTGATATATCACTAAAAGTCTTAAATTAAAGCTCATGACAGTCAAACATATATTTCAAATGTTCTGGCTCCCCCTGCTGGCCAAAAAGCCTCTGTGCAGAAGCCTCGGTTGGCTCTTCAGGCCTTTTCAGCAACTCAAGGCAGCTTTAGTGCATGACTGAACGCTTAATTCGGCCCAACTCCCAGAGCACAGCCTATCTGAAAATGTCTAGACGGCTGTTCAAAGTCAGCAGAGACGAAGGGCGGAGGCTAAGAAAACAAGACGAACCATCAGCCTCTACTACATATCTAAAAGTATCCGGACAGTCCTTCTAATGAGTGAATTCAGCCACTCTCTGCTGACACAGCTTGTACAATCTCCAAAAAGCTCTGACCAATAGAACGGGACGCTCAGGAGCAGCTACACAAGCCTAAGGTCACTATGCCCAATGCCCAGCGTGGTTTAGAGGGGTATAAAGCCCCCCAGCATTGGGCTGTGGAGCAGTGGAGCTGCATTCTCTGGAGTGATGGAGCTCCATCCAATACCTCTGGGATGAGTTGGAGTGATCCAGAATTGACCATCCAACATCAGAACCTGACCTCACTAATGCTTAATCAAATCCTCACAGCAATGTTCCAACATCTAGTATAAAGCCTCCCAGACGAGTAGAGGCTGTTACTGCAGCAAAGAGGGACAAACTATATATTTCTATATATTACTATTGTTTAACTTATTGGAAATAATAAAAGATAAAGGCCCAATCTCATTTCTTATTTTACCCCTAGCCCTTGTTTTTGCGTGTCTCCTTGCCTCTTGGAACTGAGTTACAGGGTAGTGGTTGAAATCTTCCCTCTGAAATGGGACCCTCAAATAAAAAGAGCATCACTTCATTAACAGCTACCAGCGCTGCTCTGTAGGCGACCCTGCCAGTCTGCAGTGACAGCAGAGGAGGGTAAAGTTCAGCTCCTCACTGCTGGGCTTTAGTTACATTTAGGGCATCATACGATCTTCAAAGAGGGGGGCAATTATTTATTATCACCCACCCCCTAATTCGTCAGTGATATGAAGCTGAAGTCAAGATATTCTCCAGCTTCTCGTACAAATTTTCCCGTTCCACCTTAAATAGAGCAACAGATACATTCTGGTGCCTCAGGCGTCAGAACTGCTGCACCATTTAAGGTGGAATGGGAAAGTTAGCTAGGCAGCTACCGAGAAATCAGCATACTATTAAATTTTAATGCCTGTTATAAAGAAAAGAACCATGATGACCATAGAAACACGATTAAATACAGTGGTTATTGTAATTTTTTAATAGAGAAAATTCTCACATTTGTGTGTTTCTTTGGTCTCTTGTTCAGCCGTCTTGCCCGTTTTTCTTTTTTCTCATAACTCTCTGTTTGGAGCTCTGAAAAACCTCTGTTTGGAGGGTCATGTAGCTCTAACACTTCGCCCTCCCCCTCTATCTCAACAAGAATCAGGACACCCTACTCCTAGAGGTGGACGTACAAAACAGAGGGGTAGGGCTAAGTGGTAGGGGCGAGGGGTGAAATGGGGTTGGGCCTAAATATAACTTGCGCACAGGTCACATTACGTTTTTCCCCCAATATGTTACATTCTGCAAATAAACAACTGTG